TATATTTTTTTTTTAAATATTTATCTTTATGTGTGTGTATTGCCTGCATGTAGGTAAGTTCACGCCCACAAGGGACAGAAGAAACTGTCAGAGCTCCTAGAACTGGAGTGACAGAGAGTTGTTAGCTGTCATGTGGGTGCTGGGATATGAACTGGGTCTTCTTCAAGAACAGTCAATATTTGTAACCGCTGAGCCATCTCTCCAGCACCAAGTTTTATATACTTCCTTTTTTTTTTTTTTTTTTTTTTCCTTTTTGAGACAGGGTCTCCTTATAGCCCCAGCTGTCCTGGAACTCACTATGGAGACCAGAGTGGCCTTGAACTGACAGAGATCTGCCTACCTCTGCCTCCCGAGTGCTGGGATTAAAGGTGTGCACTACCACACCTGGCTCCCAAGTTTTATATTTTTATATCAAGTTATATACATATGAGTTTATATGTATAAACAAGTTATTTATTTTCAACTTTGTATCCGAACTGTGTGAGGTTTGAAACAAAGACATGCCAAGTAGCCAAAAATTTCTGTTTAATTGAAGCTGTACTCCAGAAAACTGATGAATGAAAACCAAATAGTAGTCTAAAAGCGAAGTGCTGATCACAGGGAAGCGCTAGGGCATTGCCTGAGGATCAAAGGGGAAGGCCTGCAGCAGACTCCAGGCCCACAGAACACCATGGGCACTCAGTTAAGGCAGGGGAACCAGGAAAAATAGGAAATTGGGAGAAGTCGATACATAATGCCTATTTGTTTTAGAGAAGAAATAGAAGGTAATCACATTGCAAAGAAGAAATGTGAAGGTATATACCAGAATAGACAGCTGATAGGGCTGGCCATGGGAATGGCCACTGTGAGCTGGCTGGCTGGCTTCTGATTTCTGCTACTGGTTTGTTTTTTTAAATACATCATTATAAAAAATATTAGGCACACACTTTACAACAGATCCCCTCCCTAAAGTGGGTGTGACATCAAAGCTGGGAACAGGCACAGAGAACCATGCAACAGCCTCTTGCAGCATCCTCTGATTCATCAAAGGGTACCCCTCCTTAGAATATACCTTTAGGGGTCACTAGGATGCTGGTCTATCCTATCTGGACACTGTGTCCTACTTGAACCTTCAGTGGTGGAGAAACCAATCGGAAAGCTGAGCTCTGACAGAACCAGGCAGTACAGGGTGATGGCCTAAAGGTTCCCAGAGGCCACCTCCAACCTCCGCCTTGACCTCTGACTCAGGATTTCCACCTGCCATTATTTCTTCCTGCCCCTCTCCTTCCCTTTCTGTTTTTCTGGTGCTAGAGGATCAAACCCAGGGCCTCCTGCACACTAGGCAAGCATTACCACTAAGCTAGTTCTTCCCTGAAGTAATTCCTCAGTTTTCTTTTCTTTTACTTTTCTTTTTTTTAAATATTTTATTTATTATTTTTATTTTATGTGTACAAGTGTATTGCCTGCACGTATGTGAGTACATCCGTGTCGTGCAATGTCATGGAGGTCAGAAGAGGGCTTCGTATTCCCCTGGAACTGGAGTTAAGGATGGTTCATAGCCGCCATGTGGGTGCTGGGAATCGAACCCGGGTCCTCTGCAAGAGCAGTCAGTGCTCTTAACTGCTGAGCCATCTCTCCAGCCCTCTTGTTCTTTTTGAGACAGGGTCTCACTATGTAGCCCTGTCTGGCCTGGAACTCACTATGTAGACCAAGTTGACCCAACTAACAGAGATCCACCTGCCCTTGTCTCCTGAATGCTGGGATTAAAGGTATACGCCACCCCACCCAGCTATTGCTTCTTTTTGTAAGTAGGCATAGTATAGACAGAAACCCAAGTGGAAAAGCAGAGACTTCTGTCTCATCATTTATAATTCTTGACTGTAGAGGCCTGGGCAGATGCTTATACTTGGCATGCACTAAGCACACAATAAAGAGCTGAGGAAGGTATAATTAGAGCAGCAGCTTCATCTGTGCCCAGCAACCTTAACAATGCTGATCAGTCTATCCTCACAAGGTGTTTATGCAGTTAGAGAGGAAAATCAGAAATGGGGGCAGTGTTGGTAAGAGAAGATCTGGGATCCTGTGAGGCTGAGCCCATAGCCTGCACAATAGGCAGCTGCTGCCATACACCCCATTTGGTAAGAGGTTTAGTTAGGCAGGTAGCAGATGGCAGAAGAATGAACTTGAGAGATGAACACAAAAGTGATCTGAGAGCAGAGACTGACCCTCCCACTGTGAGGCTGTGAGGATGGGGGACAGTGGCGCCTCTGGTAACTCTGTCCCTAGGGGTTGCCCTTGTAGCACCCACCTTCTTCAGAGAGGCTGTTCTCTTTGGTCTCCTTGTCCATCTGGCAGCACCAGCCTTCCAGCCGCTCTGTTTCTGCCTGAAGGAGCTTCAGAAACCAGTAACCATCTCGACGGCAGGCCCCGGGCGGTGCTGGCTCTGCCGGGGAGCTGGAGGAAGTCTCCAGCCAGGGGTCAGGTGGGGGCAGAGAGGACGCCTCTAGGGCAGGGTCGCTGCTGTCTCCATAGGAGAGGTTGAGCTTGATCTGGGCAATCTTGGGGGCCTGCCGGGGGCCAGCATCGATGCTGATGGAGTTGGGGTGTGGGGTACAGTCTGGGAGGCTCCTTTCAGATGACTTACAGCTTGAATCATTGGCATCCTGGGTATCCGAGTCAGGGTCCCGTCGGGAGGACATGCTGTGAGAGGGGACGTTGCTTCTGTGGGGGGTAGGGTGGGGACAGAAAAGATTGAGTCACCAAGAGGCCCAGAAACCAGCAGCCACCTGACCCGGACACACGGGAGACAGAGAAATGGATGCATCATCTGCTCACCATGCGCCTGAAGCAGGTCCCACAGCCCCCGCTCATTCTCGGCTCAGCCCTTGCCCCATCCTGCCCGTGCCCACACGCCCGCTTGTACACACACACACACACACACACACACACACACACACACACACACACACACACAAACACAAGCACATACACACACACACACACACACACACACACACACACACACACACACACAAAGACAAGGTCATAAGGTTGTCTGTTTACTGCAGTGGGGCCAGGAAGACCACCAACATCAGGGGAGCTGGGGCCACATCCCAGCCCAGCCTTGCCCCCCGAGGGCTGACTGGTTTCACAGAGCACGTGCTCATGTGTCCACCCACCTGCCCTGCCCAGCCTCCCACACCTGAACCACCACCCGTACCCAAACCCAGCTTGGTTATTAGAAATCCAGCAAGGAGAAGTGGGTTAGGGAGAACAGGAGAGGTGAGGGCGGAGGGAGGGAGAGGAGAGGGGAATAGCAGTCACCACCTCTGTCGACTTACCGCCAGTCGTCCTCTACCTGAACCCCGATGGACTGGAATTTGGTAGCGGGACTGGGCTCCTCTTTTGGCACTGGCTGAATGCAGTCAACCTTATTGAAGGACAACGACAGCAACGGCACGGAGACAAAGACAAAAATAAAGAACAAACACCACACTTGCTGCTGAAATTCACATTAGTGGGACGACGCAAACAGACGTGTGGACAGACAGACACGAGGCATGCAGACACTGCACATGGGCCCGAAGAGGGCCAGGTTAAGCCGGGCACTGCTCATTCGCGCAGAGGCAGGAGGGGGTGGAGATGACTGGCTTTCCCTACTCTGAGGAGGGCGCCATCACATCGATCGCTTTGGGTCCGTTGTCCTCCGAGAGGTGGGAACCGTTCCTTCTAGTCCTCTCCTTTACACGAATCAGAGAGAAGAAAAAAAGGACGACGGAAGAGAAAGAGAACACACACACACAAAGCCAGAGCCGTTATCTGGTGTAGTTGAAGCTGGGGGCTGTCTTGAGGCAAAGCTCATTCCCCCAACCCTGCAGCTATAGCCTGAAAGGGGAACTGGTGATACCTGGACTAAGTGCAAACCATGGACAGCAGTTCTCAAACCCACAACCCAAAGCTAACCAAGTGAAGTTCCTCGAGGTTATGGGATCCCATGCCTGGACCTTAGTCACCCTTGGCCTAGGGAGGGCAGGGCCCATTCCAGAGTTGACAGCCATGCTCTGGGCCCATCCATGGTACAGCCAGGCCAGCCTTCCCATCACGGCTCAAAACTGTGGGGGAGACCATGTTTGACCTGGGGTTTGAGGCATCAAGGGGGTAGGATGAGGCTTTAAGACAGCCCCACAAACTGGGATTCCAGAAGCAGAGGCCAGAGAAGATTTCTGGGACAGGGATCGAGTTATACTTCCCTTGGCAAGAGCCAGCTTGGGAAGCACAACATCCTTGTATCTCCAACAAGCTGTGATGAGAGCATGGAATGGGGTGAAGCCAGGTAAGGGGGCTCAGGAAGTGCACTAGCCAGAGTCCTTTTCCCAGTGTCATGTTGTAGATGAAGGACTCAAAGCTGGTCCTAACTCCCTCTCAGAGTACCTGGTTGGGCCAACAAGGTGGGCTGCCCAAACAAAGACACAGGTGGTCAGGCCCAAAGGTCAAACACCAGGCTACTTCCTGTGTTCCTAAGAATCTCACCTAGAGAGGCTGTAGGGGCAAGTGCTGGACACTATGAATAAGCCCAGCTGGATGGAGCCAGGGGAGCCCAGAAAATGAGAATCTCTGACCAACTTCCTTCCTATATGTGGGGGAACTCAAACCCTGAGCTGCCTCTAAAGAAACAGATCCCAGGCATGTACAAGAAGTGCCCAGTGCATCTTCCCTGTTTCACTCAGCTACCCCTTTGCATCCCACACTCCTTCCATATTCTAGCACATTGACCACATCCACGTTTTCAGGGGCCACTGAGATGGAGATCCCCACAGACTGAAGCCAGAGAACATAACACCTCATTCTCCTTGACTGTCACATCGGTTTGGAAGTGCTCCACCTCCCCCATCCATACTGCAGCCGGCCTTGCCTGGTTCCCGAATGAGCTCTAGTTTCCACTGGAGTTTGGAGGTCCAGTTAGCAGGCATAGGCCTCTCATTCTAGATTTAGATCAACTCTTGAAAATTGCAAGTCTGGGTCCAAATTTGCCCCACAAAGCTAAGAGAAGACAGACACCTGATGCTGGGTACTGTGAGGTAGTAGAGGGGAAGCTGGGTGCTATGAGGCAGCGGAGGGGAATCTGGATGCCATGGATGAGTGAGCAATGGTTTGGTTTCTAGATGGACCACATGGCCCCAAGGAACTACCTGCCTGGACCCTTTCCCATGAGGAGGCACAGAGATGGCCATCTGACTTCTCATTTTGCCATGGGTCTAGTGCTTCAAGTGACCTACCTGTCCCCAAAGGCCCAAGAGGGCTTTGGGCAAAGTTCCCCTTGAACAACCCCCATGGCTCAAAGGCCCTGGTCCAGGACCCCTGGCCCATCGGCGTCTATGCTCCACGACGCTCCCGCTGCCAAGCGGGGCCATGGCTTCCGTACCGAGCTGACCTTGGATTAGAGAACCGTTAGGCCAGTCCCGCCTCCCACAGGTTGTCTGGCAAGGCAAAGGGTGGAGTGGACAGAAAGACAGTGGACAGCAAACAGTGGACAGGAGATGGCTGGCTGAGTGTAACTACATTCACTGGGACAACCCACTGGCAGATCAGAAACATGCCCTCAGCTGCAGACATGCAGCATGGGCAGCTGGACACAAGGGTGGCTACAGGTGGAATTTGGTTCAGTCACTTGGGGTGGACCCCCCAGAATAGACAGACAAAACATTTCTTCCCGGGAGACCTAGTGGGCCTCCACCAGATGTAATTACACGCAGGCAGGTGCACGGAGTGGACCGAGGACACAGTGCAAAAGGGGCCCCTACTTGTATTCCTATTGATGACAGTTTCCTTTTGGGAATGGCCTCGGAATGGGACTCAGAGCTTGTCAGTGTTCCTTGTTCACTCTTCAGAGCTGCATGTTTCGGGGGTGGCTCCAAGGCTTCAGGGGTTGGGGCAACTCCACCCCGTGTCACACTGGGTGGTCGGGTACTGCTGTCCAGGCTGTCTGATGAGTTGCTCAAGCCCGACTGGCTTGTTACCTCACTCTTGTGGTCTTGACTGTCCAGATAGGTGTCCTGAGCAGACTCAGTGCTGCTCTGGACCGTGACTGAGATGAACGGCTTTGATGTGGTACGTGGAGGGACTGGTGGCGGGGTCTTCTTATATGCCACTAAGCATGATGAACCTGTAGATGGGTGAGAGGAGGACAGGGTGAAGATGAAGCCTCTAATGCTCGAAAGCCCCTTCCAGGCTGAGGCCCTGCCTTCCTTGGCTAAGCTCTGGCCTTAGCCAAAGGACTGTGAAGCAACAGAATGAAAGTCACACACAGCAATGAACAAAACAGGCACATAGCTCCTGTCCACTCTCATACAAGACCAAATCTAGAGGGGAGGCCATATTAACCACAGGTCCCTTCAACAAGGCTGTGACAGGGCCTGACCAATGCCAAGAGGAGGTAGTAACAGAGCAGAGCTCAGGAGAGTTAAGGAATGGTTACCTAGTACTGGGGGTTTTGCTTTTCCTCTACCTTCCCTCTCCACTCTCTGTGTGGATACCCCACCCCCATCTGGTCAAAACAATACATCCACCTTTCCATTCTTACCCCTTTTTCCTGTGAAAACCCCACATACCAGCCTGCTGTCCCTAACACTCCACCATGCTTGATCCCTTTTTCCTTGTCCCTACTAAGATTCAGGAAACCAGTGCCACCGGAAGGAGTCTGAGTCATCTGGGGCTGGCATGCAGCAGGGTCTGCATAGGGTGGCTGCTGGCTTTCCAGAGGCTGCACTGTCTGCAACAGAAGGTGTTCTGAAGCTGATGAGTGGCCTTTCTCAGTCCTGTGCCTGGGTGCCCTCTCCCCTGTGAGGACATAAGCCCCTACCTGGGTCCTGGGTGTCCTCTGAGGATTCAAGCAAGCTCCTAACTGGGAGCAGGAGCCAGGTGAGCTCATGGGTATAGTGAGATCATGAGATCATGGGTATAGTGCTTGCCCAATGGCAGTTCATAAAACAAGGCCCAGTACCACAGATGTTAGGCAAGGGACAACAGAAGTCCCCTATCTGCCAGTAGGAGACATTACTACATAACCCAATGGAAAGGCTATGAGAAAGTGACACCATCAAACACTATCTAGACGTGGAGAAACCGAGTGACACATATGATCACTCTGGAAAAAGGACTGGCATTTTCTTATAAAACTAAACAGGCAATTATCACACAACCAAGCAAGAACACTCAGGCATGTGGCCCTCAGAAATTAACATGCATGTTCAGGCAGCTCTATTTGTGATACCCAGAAACTGAAGGCAACTGGGTAAGTGGTTAAATGAACTGTGGCACATCCATACTATGGAGTATTACTCAGGAGTGAGGAGGAAGGAATGAACTACTGATATATACAATGCTTAAATACATCTCACATGAACTGTGCTAAGTGGCAAAAGCAATCAATCCCCCAAAGTTCTACAGTACATGATTCTATTTTTATAACATTCTTGAAATGACCTAATTTTAGAGATGGAAAACAGATTAGTAATTGCTAGGGCTGAGGGGATACTGGGAGAGGACGATGGGGAGGGCAAAAGGGAAGTCAGTGGGTTATAAAAGGGTAACATGAGGACCCACATGTGCAGTGATGGAATCATTCAGTGCTTTTGACTGTGGCATCATTCTAGGAACCTGCACCTGCCATAAAGCTGTGTACACGAAGCAGGGAAATCTCAATAAGATGGGTGGGCTGCATCTCTGTCAGAGCCTGGCAGTGATACTGTACTATAGTTTTGCAAGATTTTTGGAAACTAGGTCAAGGGTCATACAGACTGTATAGAATACAAACATATTCTTTCATATTATTTCTTGCACTTCATGTAGACCTTCAGATACTTAAAAGTTTAAGAATTATTTAAGATAAGTGGTTCTAAAGTAGCAGTGGTTGGACTGGGCCAGGAGCTTGAAACTAGGAGGAGGTGATGTGCCTGGGTGCTCCCAGGGAGAAGTACTCACTTCACACTCTAAAAGTTCCCAGTTCTTCTCAGGTCTCGGAGGAAATTTACTCCCTCAAACATACCCATTTGTGGTCTTTGTCACTTAAGGCAGAACACTGAGACTGGGGTGGGGGGCAGCCACATTTCTGGGCTAGAAGGCTGCAGGGGAGACAGGAGGAAGGCATGGGCCATCAAGACAATGATTTTCCAAGGCTGCCTCCCTGACCACCCCGACCCTGGTGCATGAGAAGGGGCAAGACCTTGTTACAGTCTGATGGCCCAAAGTTGTGCTCAGCAGCTTTGTAGCTCTGTATGAGGGGACAGCAATTATACTCCCTTTACAGATGGGGTATGTGCAGCTCAGAAAGTCTAGATAATATGCCCAGAGTTGCCAGTGCTCAGTGGCAACCTCATGCTGGACTGCAGAGCCCACCTCACTGCTTTCCAGGCTTTGCAATTCTCCCAGTTGGGTATGGCTGCAGATGTAGGTTCAAAGCCCCACTGTTAGGACCTGGGACCAGAGGCACACCCAAGGCTAGGTTCCACTGGAGTAGGGTTTCAAGTGAAGGTAGACAGCTGCTTCCAGGCTCCAGCTCTACCTCACTCTCTTAACTTTCTGGTATACTCATCTATTCAGTGCTTCTAACCGCTAACAGAGCACCATAGTCACACAGCCCCTGGCAAACTCAACAGCATTTTCCCATTCATTCCCTCACTGAAGGACAGAGTACCACTGTGGCTGGGGCAAGATCCCTGCTCTGGATTTCTTCTGCTTGCCTGAAGTTATTTTGTTCTGGCAAGGGTCTTAAAATCAGGGGCAGCATGAACCAGACAAACCTGAGTTCAAACCCCATTCTGTCCTTGACTAGCTGTGTGTGGGGCTACCTTGCAGAAAGGGAGTGATGACAACAGGCTATACTTGAAGCCAGGTTCAGCCTGGTCTGAAGCTGCCGTGGTCCTACTGGTGTCTAGGAAAGAGGGAATTGGGCCAGATTTACAAACTCCCTATCTCCTGGCTCTGTGACCAGCAGAGGGGATGTTTCCCAAGAATAGAGAACACGGAGGGCAGCTATTGAAACCAATCCCATTAGAGCCCAGCAGACAGGACTGACTGACTGCAGTTTCAGGAATGGGAATGCCTGGCCTAAAAGTTGCAAAGGAAGCAGGTTTCAGTGGGGGGTTTCTGCTCAAGATCAGAACAGTGAAGCTAGCCCCAATCGTTTAAAATATTTAAGAGGGAACTTGCCTCTCAAAGGGATAAGAACAGTACAGAACCTGAGGTTATGTGACCCCAGTCAGGGTCTTTGTCCCCATCTGTGGGGTAGGACTGACACTGAGTCAGTAAGTAGTTGTCAGGATGTGGTTTCTTCCTGGAGACAACTGGGCTGCCCACAGCCAGGAGTCTGGACTGAGGACAGAGCTCTAGCCTCCTTTTCAGAGCTGCAGAGGGCCACAGTCCTGCTAAAGCAGAAGTCCTGAGCCCTGACTGAGGCTCGAGCCCTGGCTCAGGCAGCCTGTTGTTAGAAGGAAAGTAAACTGGTGAGAAGCTGGGCCACAGGCAATAAAACCTGGACAGACACAATAGCAGGAAAAGTGAACTTATCTTGGATTCTTTGTCTCCTTGGATACAGGTCACAGCTAGATAAGGGCTGTGACAAGCAGAGGGGATTTGGGGGCCTTGGGTTCCCTAGGGGGCAGGCATACCTCTGCTGAGCTGGACTGTTCTCTTTTTGCTCTTGTGAACACAGGCTAGTGCCTCTCCCTTGTACCTCATTCAGGCCACCTCTCCCACCTCAACTCCTGTGTATTCCAAGTGTCAGTTACTTCCTCTTTTCTGTCACCTAGGGACCTTCATCAAAGCACCTTTCCCACCTTTAAGGGTTCACTTGTCACTTGCAATAAGCCATGGGTAGTAATAGAAACTCCATTTTGGCACAGGCTCAGGATAATGATTCAAGCACAGAAGGCTGTCAATAAACAACTGTTGAATGAGAAAATTAATCTCATTATTGCCACCAAAACCCTTCAGCTACCAAAAAAAGCAAGATTATTTGTTCAGGTGCTGTAGTATATTCCCGTAATCCTGGAACTACACAAGTTCCAGGCCAGTCAGGGCTTCATAATAAGACCCTGTCTCAGTGGGCAAGAGCACTTGTTATGAAAGCATGAGGACCTTAGTTCAGATCCCCAGCATTCACATAAAAGCTGGCTGTAGCCATTCACTCCTGTAACCGCAGTGCTGAGGTGGAGGTGGGGGAGGATGGAGACAGGAGGAGTGCAAGAGCTTTCAGGTCTCTAGCTTGGGAGGGTGAGGAGATGGCTCAGTGGTTAAGAGCCCTTACTGCTCTTCCAGATGATCTGGGTTCAGTTCCCAGCACCCACATGGTGGCTAACACTTGTCCTTAACTTCAGTTCCAGGGGATCTGATGCCCTCTTCTGGCTACCAGGTGCACCAGATACACACATGGTACATTCACATACACGTAGGCAAAATACATCATACACTTACATAGATAAAAGAAAAATAAATTTTAAAAAATTATTTTTGAGACAGGGTCTCACTATGTGTAGCACTGGAGGGCCTAGACCTCATTATGTAGACCAGGCTGACCTTGAAAAAAAATAAGTAAAAAAATTTAAAACAAAGAGAGGAAAAAGTAGCAAGTGCCAGTCAGTAACATGGCTCAGTGGATAAAAGCACTTGTTGCCATGGCTGATGATTTGAGTTCAATCCCAGGAACCACATGGTAGAAGGGGAGAACCAATCCCACAAGTTCCTCTGTGGCATGTGTACCCACCATGATGTACACACATCAATGAATAAATAAACATGATAAAAAAATTTTTGTCTTTTAATAAATATTTTACTTATTATTTTTATTTTATGTGTATGCGTGTATTGCCTGCATGTAGGTAAGTACACCCATGTTGTACAATGCCCGAGGAGGACAGAAGAGGCTGTCGGATCCCCTGGAACTGGAGTTACGGACAGCTGTTAGCTGCCATGTGGGTGCTGGGATTCCAACCCTGGTCTTCTGCAAGAACAGCCAGTGTTCTTAACCACCCAGTCATGGCTCCAGCTCCAAGCAGGGACATTTGTCAACGTGTGGTACTTTTAGAGGTGACATGATGACAGGGTAGGAGGAGTGGAAGCTGAAGACAAGAGTTAATGGGGACCAGAAAGGGCTCCCAACCAAGGAGG